GGCTTGTAGAGGTTTACCTTGCAAGTGTAAATAACAAATATATTACTAATTTTTCATGTAAAAAGAAGATAGAAAAATTGTAAGGTTTCTTAAATGTATTACCTTTCTGCAGAAGTGTTTCCAAGCACTGCTTTCAGTAAATGAAAGAGGCAGTTCTCCTAGCACAATCAGCTCATTCGATGCCTCTCTGAAAAGCCTCTGGAACTTTTGATGACTTCAGATTGCCATCAGTGTTGATCTCTATATGGTTCGTACCATGACTGGTTAACCATGCTTGATACTCTTTGCAGATGGACAGATGCTTCTGGAGGTTTGATGTCCCTGACTTGGTAGCACATGAGAAGATTTTCTGACAGTAGTGGCAGATGCATCTGTCCCGGTTTTCTTTGGTTCGTGTGAAATGCTTCCAGACACCAGACCTTGGCACAACGAATTTCATCACCTTCTTTGACTGAGAAGAGACACCAGAAGTTTCATCAACGGCAATGGCTTTCCTTCGGTTTTGAGTTCGTTGGTACTCGGCTCCTTCAACTTGAACATCAACGTCCATGGATTCTTCAACAGACTGTGGGATTCTGGAGGATGATGAAACCATCTACAAGAGTATGAGTAAAACAATATCCATCAGTGACATCAGAAAAATATATTTATAGGCTATAAAATCGTAAAACAAAATTAGTTTACTCGTGATGGTTGTTCTTGAGACAAAACCGTAAGTACAAGTACAACAAATAACACAAAACAAAACCGTAAGTTCATGAAACAAAACATAAAGAAAGATAAAAAAAATTTGATGCTTGATTACTATGAAACAAAACACGAAATTTGAAACAAAAAATCGTGATGCTTGATTAATACGAAACAAAACAGAAAAATTTCTATCTTAAAAATTCAACAAAAACGCAAAACCCGAAACCAAGAAAAAAAAAATTAAAATCCAGCATCGAGTACTCTGTAAACGGAGGAGTACCTTTGCTTGATTACTCGAGTTATGTGGTGGAGTAGACGAAGATGATACCAGAGGTATATATAGTATCTTCGACTTAGGGTTTCGGTTTCAAATCGAGGAAGAGAATCGGATACGATGTGAGAAAACAGTTGGAGATGTGATACGATTAACAGAGATAGGAAATAATTTCGGTGAGAATATCTAGGGAGACTGAGATTTAGGAAAGGTTTCATGATTCTCTCCTTGAAGATCAAGAGAAATCTAATTTTGAATGTTTGAGTATCGATACTCGAAAGGAAAAGAGGGGTTAGGTTTAGCAATTTCGGGTTATGGGTGTAACCAATCGGACTCTCGGGTTTTATCCGCTCCGACCCGACACCCGACATTCTCAATAAATCAGGCCCATTTGGTTTTTTAGAAAGACCCGGTACCGGCCCATACCACTTTAAATGGACCGGGTTCGGTTCGGGTAATCGGTTTCGGGCCTTTTGCCCAGGCCTAAAAGATTCTCCCAATGGAGGAAGTAAAATTTTCCACTAACTAAGGTACTTAACCAATCAAATCACCTTATAAACCACTAATTTAATCCTTTGAACCCATTAGGGGTGCTAATGGATGGAAGTGCTCTTATATCGGCGAGAAATTCTGTTTAGTTACAATATATTTTGTTTCCAACAAACAAATTATTGATTACCAAAATCATCATGATATAATAAATCCATTCAATATGGATTACGGATTACTGTGTGTATACAGTTAATGTCATAGATCTTTACCAAAGAAATCATATTCATTGATCCTTCTATAAATACATAGATGGGAATGCTTCTAAGTTCTAATCATCTCAGCAGTAATCACTTCACTATGAGGTAATTTCATACTTTTTAATCAAAAACAGAAAGCGTAGATCGTTATATAAGCTTTAATAAATCATATATAAGATATATAAGTATAGTAATCACTGGTTTAGTTGTAGATTACCAGTAATCTATTGCTACCTTCAGAGACTGGGAATACTTTTTTTTCTCAGCAGATGCAATTCACCGATACCCATATTGTAATTTACTAATATAGAGTATGATCTTTGATAGTTGCATCCTTGATTGAAAATTAATTGCCCACCACTTCATAAAATACAAATTTAGAAGGCAATTCTTTACAGAAAATAAATCATTGAGAATCTATTTATACAAAGGAGACTTTTAGTCCCTCAAGCTCATCCATGTCATCAAATACTATAACCACAGCTTACCATGTGTCACTCTTTTTACCACTTTTTATTGCGTTTATTTACATTCAATTTGGGCTTCATATTTCATAATTATTTGGGCTTGGTATTCATTATTAGGTTTTGTGAAAAACAGTAACCAAGCCAGAATGAAGTAAACAACTTATTTTTCGCGACATCTACGGTTCATCATCTTCCTCGATCTGACTTAGTCATCTACGGTTCATCCTGAGACGAATCGACATTAAGAACCTTCGCCATTTAACGGAGTTTTAGGAGGTTGGTGAGATGAATCTTCGTGAGGAATCTATGGGTCAAAGCTTCATTCGCAACGGTTCGTCTGACATTCTTCTCTTCCAAAGCGTTATGGATTCATGGACTCATCGCCATTAAGATCCCTCTTTATCTCCTGAACATCATCCTCTCAGTTCCTAAAAATACTATAAACTTATTTTTCAGTATAATGGCATCTATCTTCTAGCTGATTTGAAGGTTGGCCGCTCTTCTTCCACTGTGTAGGTGAGACTGTTCAGATTTTGGGAAGCTTGCGAAAGAGGAATAAGAAATTGATCCAAAGCTTCAACCGCGATAAGTGATTCTGGACATGTAGATGTAACACCTCGAAAACCCCTCTTTTTGAAGTTTATGCATCAATTTTGCTCAAGTTCATGTTTGTAGATGTTTGGTTTGTGATTTTGATTTTGATTTCATTTGACTTGATTTTTTTAAGGAGTTGATCCCGGTTTAGAGGAATAGATGGTCGATTAGATGCATATTGTAAGTTTTATTATATTTTTATACTGTTTCCAGCTTAAAGCTTGCTGTTGGTTTCTAAAGCTCTGATTTTGAATGAATATAAAGGTTCAATTCGTTTTTAAGACCTATGAGCTAGTGTTTCTGGGTCAGACATGTGGTGGAACTGGCTATTAAAATCTTATTCTTTGGCTGTTGTTGGAGACAAGATACCTTCTATTCCAATATCTTTAGTGAGTGTGAATGCTTATCAGAATAAACCTTGCCAGGACTTAGCTCTTGGATTAAGATATCCTTTGTGTATTGTAGTTTATTGACGATGAAAATACTTTAACTATTGACAGGATATTGGAGAGATGGGAAAAGATTAAGCCGATTATCATTGAAGTTTAAAATGAAGAAGTTAAGATGATTTGGTCAATTTGTTTGGAATAGCTAGAGATGATTGGGTTAAAAAGGACTTGACAACTTGATTTGGCCTCGAGAGGTATGTCTTCGAGATTAAATCTTAAGAAAAGAATAAGTTCTGAGACCTATATTGTCTAAACAACATGTACATGTGGTCAAAGTTGAATCTTTTCTTTTGTTTTGCAATTGACCTTCATAGCTTTGATATATATTCTACTAGATTTGCAGATTCTATAAAGGAGTTTCAGATGAACATAAATTTGCTAGCTCAAAGCTTTTCATTGTTACCACAAAGCAAGTGTTGTAATGCTTTAATACTGGATGGACTTACATACTTCTATCACTATTTATAGCTACATATTTTATTAGTGTGCGTAGGAGAACTGTAGGGGCTGCTATGCTGAAGCGTTGTAAATAGTGACTTTATTAGTAAAAGTTGAATGATACAATAGAAACTGGTTAAAGTGCATGAAAAAATGAAATAAAAAAGACCATATGGAAACTCAGAATCAATCAAATAAAATTATGTAATAAAAATTAAGTGTTTCAGGATTTTGGTTGAACGCCTTAGAAAGCAATTTCCCTAGATAATGTAATCCAATCTTGCAAGCCAAGTGACAATAGTTAAAACTGGTTTCGTAATATCCTGTTCTTTTATTCTGGCAAGCATCAGCATGACGATGTTCTAATTATTTTCTGTTTAAGACCAGTTTACGATCCTAAGTCAAGGATGTTGCAGCATGTATGATCTTCCCACAAAAACCTAAATAAGGCAATACAAACATATTTTCTAAATAACAAGAACACATATTGTTGATTTGGTTATTGTTTTACTACCCCCAGGATAAGCTTATTGAGAATAACAAATGTCATATAAGTCTCAAAAGTCAAAAAGAAGCCATGTCATGTGAAGCATATGATCTAATCAAATAAAAATTAATGATTTCTAACAAAAATAACAATAAGATAATGAAAATTGATGTCAAAAAAAAGATAATGAAAATTACATATATATTTTTAAATTTTCATTCGAATATAAAGAACATATCATCTCCAAATTAATAGTAAAAATATTTAAAACGGATGATTTATTTCCGTCCCAAAACATTATTGGTTTAAAAATATTTATCAATGTCAAAGTAAAAAAAAATATTAAGGAAAAAATAAATAATTGTATTCTTATGAATATCTTAATGGTAAACCAATTAAATGATTTCTAAAAAAATAATATAATAAATAGTAAAAATTATAAAATAAAATACTTAATGGTAGTTTAGTTGAGAACATGCTAAATATTCTTTTCACAATTTCACGTGAATTTAAAATATATTTATCTTATTTCGTTTATCCATACATCCATACCGTCCGTAGGGCGGGTTTACCCTAGTATACTATATTGTATAATTGACATCACAATTTTATCGCGTGCTTTTGCGCGGATCCCTACCTAATATAATACTATATCAACCGAAAGAAAAAGAATAGTTCTAACAAAACTATATGACGTTAAAGTCACATCGGTTATATTACTTTAATGCATCAAATTAATTTTAAAAATGACTCAAAGATTTCAAATCCAGTATGATAATTTTGATGTAACGTCAACTCCAAAATGTATTTTCTGGAGAAAAAAATTTCTGTAACTCGAATACAAGCAATGGTTCAAAAAGTTTTTTTGAATACAAGCTGACATGAGGCCGAAGCCTTGGGCATAGATCTCAAATCTTTCATCATAACATCTTCCATATCTTTTCTACATAATGAGAACGTAGCAGTCTTTAAATAAGGAGCGTTTTTAAAAATGTAAACTGCAGCTTCTCTCTCATTCAGTGCTCCTCCATAGCATGTCCATTGAAGAATCTCGAGATGAAAGCTCAAGCATTTAGGAACAGAGACTAAACAGTTGAGTTGCCCCCTCCAATATGTGAGATATGTCTAGGAAACATTAAAAGGCATCAGATTAGATAAATTAAAAAGTTATTGATGAACTGATTACTAAAATGTGAAAATGTGAACTGACTCGGAGAAGCTTGAGAGATTGTATATTAGGAAAATGTCTCAGCAAACGCAGAAGTAGATTAGAGCAAAAGGCGTAATTAATGTCTAATTCAAGATGAAGAAGCCGGTTGAAGATTAAGCCATCCGTAAGGTCAACAACCTAGACACAAAGAAAATGTTTCATAATCTTGAAATCAAATGCTACCTTGAAAGAAAATGAAACCGAGATTTTCTGGAAAAGGGTTTTTACCATGGCAGCATGGAAACCTATCGACAGACGTTCAAGTGAAGAAAGAACTTTAAAAAGGTGCTCATGTCTCGGCAAGTCAACTGACACATTAGCCTCCACCAACTTAGGCATATCTTCAATGAGGTTATAACAAGCTCGAATATCGCAGATCTTTAAGTATTTCAAAGAAGGTGCACTTATCTCGAGTATCGGGTCGTTGTCATGATAATACCCATATTTAGTATCAATGGATAACCTTTGTAGAGAGGGGGATGATAACGATATTGGGAACAAATAATCTCCAGCACTACGAAGTGCTTCGAGGACGAGATCTTCAAGAACAGGACACGCCGATAAAATTATTTTGAAAGATTCTTTGCGCTCGAACCTCACATATGTGAGGTGTAACGTTTTCAAGGAAGGGAAACAAACAGGAGAATCAACAACGTCGAGAACAGTCCTGCCTTTGAGTTTCAAGACAAGGAGTGTTTTGAAGACGTTGAGGTTATTTGGGAATCTGATGGGAAAACCATAATTACAATATTTGAAAGTGATTGTGATCTCGAGGAGAGTGGAAAAAATGTTTGGGAATAAGTGATCTATGGAATCAGAGCGATTTATAAGTTTGATATTTAGGGTTTTGAGGACAGGAGCTACATGTAATGGCAAGGACTTGCGGCAAAATTGGTCAAATCCAAGGGAACCATTGTAGCGACATGTTTCGTCATACACAAGCTTTGGCATCATCTTCCACACATAGTTCCATCGCTTAGACAGTAAGCTTGTGGACATTGCGATTCTTACCGGAACCAATGAGAGGATTTGTAAGAGCAAGTCATCAGGTAGGTGACTGATCCTATCTAGATGCATAACCTCTTCGTTTCCCAATTTCACAGCTTTCATCGCCCAGTCGTTTTGAGATCTGAAGGAGTAACCTATTTTTTGGAGCCTAGGGGAAAAGAGAGATGTGAGATCCTAATTTTTGTTAAGGCTTCTCTCTTTGTCACATATTATTTATATATTAATATGTTTACTAACTATAGTTTATTTATATGTCATGCTGGCGTAACATTCATTAAAACCGATATCTATACCTTTTTATGATGTCATTAACTGATATCTATACTTTTTATTAAAATTAGGCATAAGTTGATTTCATTCATTTTTTTTATTGAAGATACAGAATCTGAGTACTTATGTTAGAGATTTTTTTCTATTTTTCTGTTAAAATATTATTTATATTGCTATGTTTACTACTTTAAAGTTGTTTTTCATCAAGATAATTGGTTATCAGTGTAAGCCTACTTTGCATATAGTATATGTAATCTGAATATTTTAAATGGCAATTCTGTCAAATAGCTTATTCTTAAATTTTTTTTATCACAAAAAGAGTCATCAAAGAAAAAAATAACAAAAAAAGTTTCATTAAAGTTCATTGCTTTATAAGTACATAAAAAAACAAAAAAACAAAAATAAAACTATTTTTTTATAATTTTGGATTATATGTCTTCAGATTCGACTTTTATAAATTATTTTTTTGAATTTGTTTTTCAGATTTTTTCATATTTTAAAAAAAACTATTTTTGAGATTCAAAAATTCCTTTTGAAACTATTTAAAATATTTTCAAAATTTTACTATTATTTTTTATTTTTTAGTATTTGAAATCTTATCCCCAAAATTCCACTCTTTAACTATAAACAAATAAATTTTTAGTGTTAGTTAATCCTAAAAGAATAAGAGTGCATTTACCATTCAATAAAACATCTTTTGATTATTTTCTTATTTGAGAGTTCCTTTTATGAAATTAATTAAAAATGGATGTTCTAAAGAATTTCTCTATTTTAAACATGAACTAGGTGGTAACCCTGCACGGAGTGAGTGGTTTAATAGATATTTTAACTTTTAATATATAGGTATTAAATTTGATCAATAGATATATAGGTATTAAAAATATAAAATTAAAAGTCACATATATCATATGTATTATATGTTATGTAATGAAAAATATAAATAAATTGTGTGTGTTTATATAAGGTTTAAACTCAGAATTTATGTTTTTTTTTAAAAACAAAATTGTGTTATTCTTTAAGTGTAATTAAAATATAGTTTTTGGAAGTAAATCTATAAGAGTAAAAAAAAACTTATATAAAATTAATTATGAATTTAAGATAAAACAAAAAATAGGAAATATGATTATTTTGTTCATAATATAAATTATGAATATAAGAATAAAAATCATAGGTAATAAAATATTAAAGGAACAAATAGTAAGGAAACAAATTCAAAAAAAAAAAACTGAAAACAACAACTGCGCCAATTAGTATTTTTAGAACTCTTCGTTTAGTATGATTTATATATTACAAATTTATAGGGTTTACAAATATCAAGGAAGCAAAGTATTCCATCGCCATAATACAATCACAAAATCCCTATTTTTTAATTATTTTAATTGCTAATATAATCTTTGTTTAATATAAATTCATATTTTCTTATATTATCATCACGGGATTACTCATATTTGATATTCATATTTAGTTTTTTGCTGCAATTACGGTGCAGGTTATTACTGATTGAAGTTATTTTGTATAAGTTTAAAAGATAACACGGAATAACTTACCTTTTTCAGACCTTGTACGATTTGTAGTTATTATTGATTGAATTTTACATGTACTTCTTAATGAATTTTCTTTAATGATCGTCAAACTTTATAACATATATGGTAATTTGAGTACCAAATTAGATACTACAGACCCGCAAAATGTGATTCAATTATGGACTATATTTGATGATTTGATTAAATTTCATTGGAAATTGTTATGTTTAATTTGTGACCGAGTATCCAAAATTTAATATTCATGAACTGATCAAAAAATATTTTTTAACATTTATGAAAATATATGAAATTACAAAGCATTGGTCCTTAATTTAAGTAATTGGTTATTTCTTTCCAAATATTTTAAAAATTAGATGATCAATTGGGGATTTGAATTAATTTTAGGATTTTTGAGAACATATCTATTAAAAGACAAAAGATATGTTATGTGAATATATTATTTTCTGTACATAACAACTATATTGTTTTCATTTAAAAAAAACATAAATGTGGCTTTAGGGATACATAGCATATTATGTAAACATATCTACGTATGTTGCTTTTGTATTTGCAAACATTCGCATATACTTGCCAATAGAATTAAATATTAGCAAAGATCATAACTAAATACATCTATGTTACATGTATTTGTAAACATTATCATATAATATGTTGCTTTTGAATTAATATTATGATCTCATGTATGTTTCTTATGTTGCTTTTATTATATTAATTAATGTATTTACAAATATATTACTGTACATTAAAATTATAGTGTTTTCATTAAAAACATATAAATGACTTTAGGGATACATATTAATGGTGAAACCCTAAATACATATATGTCCCATGTATTTGTAAATATAATTCATGATAATGTTTGCAAAGATGAAGATTCGAATAAACATGTAAGTGAAATTTTTGTAGATTTAAGATTATAGCACAAAACTAATTAAAGATTCAAATAAACATGAAGTATAATTATTATAGATAACCGGTTTTGATGAATATGACTAAACGGATTGGTTAGTTTTGTTAATTAGAAAGCATATAATATATTATGTTATACTACAAATTAATGAATAATGGCAGTGTATGTAATTAATCTAGTAAATAGAGGATTTTTAAACATAGAATGTTAGAGTGATTGTGAGAGTACCATGTAAGAAATGACATTTTAAATAATAATACATGAGGTTAAATTTATTTTGTAGAAATAAATAGTAATTTAATATATATTTAAATAATTTGCGCTAATTTTATGCCCTCTGATTGATAACATTTATGTTTAGAATCCCTAACTAATCATGTCCCCTCAATTTAAATGGTAAACTTAATCAAGAGAGGAAACAAATGTAATTGTATCTTTTTGGGAATATACTCTTTTTGAGTGCATAATTTAGTGACATAATTTTATGTTTATTATCATTTATAGCAAGCTTGGCAATTAACATAATGACATGATTATCAATTTTACTGAACATCTAGGTAAAGATAACGGGATTAAATGCTTAGGTAAAATGATCGAATACATATTTGTTACACTTATAAATTATAAGTTACATATTAAAAATTTAGTTGCAGCATTTTTTTTAAAAAAACAAACCACAATTATATACATTTCGTCCCTCTAAATTAAAAAAGACTACGTTATATGTGTTCCTACGCATCATATAACATAGTTTTCTATGGCGCAGATTAAAACCACGATATTACGTTTTCAAAATAGATATATTTTTTTGTCTTTATTGTATGTCAATAACAAATATTTCATCGAAAAAAGAAAAAAGAAAAGAAAAGGGATTATGTTTTGTACAATGCCTCTTCAACCCTGATTCCAGGAATGAAGATTTGATTTCTTTAATTTTTGTATATACAAATATGCACTATTAGTATCTTGATATAAACTTATGTATATTTATATATCTATATATATAACATAAACATAAAAATAACATATGGTTTGATACATTATTTATATGTCGATAGCATTTTTACTCGCAACAAAATTACTTATATACTATGTAGTAATATATTTTATGTCGTATTTTGTTAAACACTTATATATATATATATATATATATATATATATATATATATATATATACATATATGTCTATATATATAATGTGAACATAAAAAGCAACATATAGTTTGATAGACACTTATTTATATGTCAATAACATTTTTACATTTTGAAATTTCACTATCCATAACGTCTTGAAACATGCATACAAAATTAAACATATACTATACTAATTTTGCAGGTTTATGTGTCAATGACATGACATGTAATTAGACTAAACAAGAAAGGGCTATTCAATAAAAGATGTGAGGTACATTGTGGTGTTGACACATAGGAAATGACAAAATTGTTAATCATACATGAGGGTAGGTTTATTTTTAAAAGTGTTCCTCAAATAATATAAAGGAGATTTCTGAAAATTATCTAAATATTCCACGGTGTAAGTCAACTGTTATTTTTGTTTGACTAGTTTCTTATATATTATTTACGAAGTGATTTTGACATGTATTATCACCACAATCAATTTCACCAAAAAAATGATGTCATGTCCACTAATAATGGTAACTTGACTTACATTTAATTGTGATATGTACATTTACATTTAGTGTTAATATATATTTTTGGTAAGTTTTTAGAATATGGTAATAACTCATAAATTATCATTAACATAACAATAAATAATATAATAGTAGAAATAGAAATATAATAATGTTTACAAATGTTTAAATATTTTTCAAGTCTATTTTTTATAATTATATAAATTTTATTAATAAGTATTTTCAAATTTTTATGTGGGGTTTTTAAAAAATTATAATTTTCTAATCCCAATATCGTTAGTTTTATTTATAACATTTATAAATTTTAGAAATATTATTTAATATTATATTCTGATAATTTTATACCTAACAAATTTTTTTCTTATTTGTATAGAATCTGATTTAACATATTTTAATCAAAAGAAAAAAGATAAAAAAATCTTTCCCAAATTTTAATTTTAATATATACATATATATATATTATTAAATATAAATTTAAATAAAAAAAAATTATTTTATCTTAAATTTTATAACATCTATAAATTTTAGAA